TGATTTGTTCTAACTTTATCATTGTCAACTTTATGGAAAATGGCGTTGAATAAGTTTCCGCGTTCGAGAGAACGTTAGTAGCCTCTTTGCAGGTACTTAATGTAAGATAAAAGTATTATCTACTTTGAAACTTAGTATTTGCGATCCTGCTTCGATGGCAGATTATTTAATTTTTATCTTTGAAGAGCCAGAATGGCCTGGTATTACTGATTTGAAGTATAACGGAAATCTGTTTGCGAGTTTTTAGCTGATTGGACAACCCATTTATTTCTTTGTTTTTCTTTTGTTATTTTCTGTAAAGAAAAGCTTAAACTCTTTGGAGTGACTTTATCATTCAGACAGAAGCTCAATCGAGCGAAAGTAAACATTACTAGATTTTTGGTCTATAAAATCTACTAAACGATTTTAGAGCATCTAGCTTCACCGACGAATATATTGACAGTACAAAAGTATCTATTTATAGTTTAGGTGGAATACATCACTTTGACTTTGACTTTGTCCCTGATGACAAAGTTTTGTGACAGCTTTAATATCTAATTTAACCAAATAAAATCAATCATGAATAGACTGCGTGTAAAAAAATAATTAACGGCAAAATACTGTTATATCAACCGTTATAATAGAATGTTCAACCGTAGCCAACAAAAAGAAACTCATTTGTACTGGTCATGTTAAAAGATTAAACTACATGTTCATACAAGCGGTTAACTGGCAAGGCCAGTTTAAGTTGACCTTGGAACGTACATCGTAATCATTCTGTGAAAGATCAGGATATGGAAGGGATGTGTGTACCTCTGGTATTGTTTGTTGTGTAGCATGATTTTTTTTTGTTGTTATAAATGTAGACTCCGAATTAACTTGAATTCGGTCGGTTTGTTTTTTATCCTGCCTTTATCGCTATTGGTTATATGGCTATATGGTTCGAAATGTTGACCTTTGGATTATTTACGCCGAAAATGTTTTATTTACAAGTAATATATGTAAATATTTGATGCCATTCTGATCTGGAATTGTGTATTTTCGTAAAAAATATTGGGTCGATTTTTTTATGAGATATTGAAGATAATATTTTTTTTCGATTAAAACTGGAAGGGGTTGAAATTCAGAGGAATTAGTCATGCATTGATTTCATGGAATACTAATTACAAAAGATCATCTGTCTCGAATCCATACTATAGTCGAGAGTTCGTAGTTAAAACAAATAAAAATCGCGCTTTTTAGACCTTTTTGATTGCTTTTTTTTAATTTCTTTATCTAACTTTTTAAAATAACGTTACAATTGGCCGTGACTCACACTAGGCTGAGCAGAATATTACTAAGAAACAAAATAAAATAGTAAAGCGGCCATATTACTATTTATTTGCAAACTGATTGTTTCACTTTGAACAATAAATATTAACATATCCACTTTATTATTTTAACATCGTCCGTTTGTTACGCAACGACACGTTGATTTATTCAACGCCCAAAAAAAAGTGTTGTACACAGATACTGGATAAAACCGCAAATTGAATTTACGTTTTGAATTTTTTTCGTTAATTAAAAAAATGGCCGCTATAAAATGATTCGGTTCAGTGTTGGCATTGTTTTGGTTTTGGCATACTTTTAATTATATTAATAATTTTTGATGAATGTTTTTTTTTTGAGGAATGAATTCACTGGATGATTCCTGAGACCTGAGTGAAGGCCAACCGGGGTTGCAGTTGCAAGTGTAACATTTTTATTGCGGCTTTGGCTTGCAAGGACCGGTTTGGTTATTAGTCAGCAAGTCTGGCAAACCCTCACCTAGGGCGGAAAAATACATTCGACAATTTTCCACTCTGAGCAAAGGGAAAGAGAGTATTAGACTCTTACTGACTAAAAACCACCCTGTTCCGACTTTTGCTCCCATCTGAGCAACGATTATTTCCATTGACCCGCAACCCAGGTTTTATAGAAAATGAAGATATCGTTCCAAACCAAAAATAGCTAAAAGCACTAATAAGAATAATTAGTGCTTAATTTTTATATCTTTATCATTATACATCGTTGGCCTAGCACAGCTTCAGAGCAAACTTACTACGATTCCCTTTATCCATAATAATTATTGAGTGATTCACTTTTCAAAACAGAAAAAAAAAACACAAAAAGACAATACAGTCTCCAGAATTCTGCCTACTAACTTCATAGGGTAAATGAAAAGTTAGAATTACACCAATCTTTTCGTGGAATTTAAGGTGTGACATATTTTATATTGAAAAACATAATCCACTTTAGTTTAAAGTGTTACGTTATACAATGTTTAATTAATAAACTCTATTTTGCATCCCTCTAGATATATCCCATATTTGCCTCCATTACCCCAATCAACAGCAAACATGACGGTATACGTTTAATTGCTAAACAATTATACAGTCTCTACAGGATACAAACGAAATAGTTACCTAAATGTGTTTAATTATAAAATACAAATTTGGATGGGATATATTGGAGACTAAATTCATTAAAACTATCGCCCAGACCAAATGTTTTCAATTCCAAAACTTACTGGACGACATTCTGGTAACTATTAATGAAAATAATTTTAATTCAGAACTTTTAGCCGAAATTTAAATTTAGACTTTAATTTAGGCGTAGATGAGCAGTTTTTACGTTAATAACAATTGACCATTTTAAAGTTATTTTAGTTCAACCGATGAGACAAAAATGTGTCTCTAGATTCCGAATTCTAATTACCAATTAGTGTTATTATGTTTTCTTACACCCGGTTTCTGAAAGGCTTGTCAACGCTAAAATTAACTAATCTCCTGTTAAATCTCTTGTCAAGTCATCTGATTGGTTGTTGATAATTCAGTCAACCAATCAGATGACTTGACAAGTGATTAAATTGATTTTAACATTGATCGGTCTTTCGGAAATCTGGTGTTAGTCTTTTAAAGTCATCATAGTATCAACCCATTTATAATCCATTAAATGAAACAGCCTCCTATAAAATAAGTGACCACGTCAAAACCACACTATGTTTCATTCCCAACATAATACTCGTATGTACTTGTACCTCATGTACCACTAGAAAAGCTATAAGAAATAGCAGTCACGAGGCACGGAACTCCGCAATGTACCAGGATTGTAGCAAAGTTGAGGAGGTTCTACCAAGTACTAAACGGTTTAGTGGCTAAAAGTGTCCAGTCATAGTGTATTAGTGTAACTTTTATGTTGAAAGTTGTACATCCACCCGAAGTAATGGCATTTTCCCCGCACTTAGTAACTGCAGAATCTGGTCGTAACGTAATTTGTGAGTTGTACTTTGATGACTGCCTTGTTGGGATGGAAGTTGCAAGAACTACTGATGAACTAGGTTTCTAGTTAGAATCTTGATTTGTTTTTTGAAACTGCACAGTTGTGACATGCTGAATTCTCGCGTGAACCTCTCGAGTTTTTGTCCAATAGGAAATTAGCCAGTATCACACCATGGGACGTAAAGTTTGGACTATGACTGTGATTGGTCAAACTGACTTTTATGACTGATTAGTGCCCGTCTGGTTAGGAAACAAACTGTAGTCCCCACTGTTTATTTTGGAAAAAAAGGCTTTCGTCACCAGAGCTTTCTTCTGGATCGGACGCTTATACAAGGAATCAAATCACACGGTTACTCTGCTCGAGAATCTAATCCATATACAGGGTGTAAAAATACACTTAACGAAGCCGTTAACTGCAGTTTTTATTATAACTTTCGTGAGACATTCTAAATTATTTATTATGTTTTCGGCTTACTCACGTAATTTGACGAGATACTTGACTAGTTTCAAGCCATGCTAGAGGTAGAGGCAGAGTAGCAGCGCGACAGTCGCCGAGTCGCGTGTCGCGGAATGCTGCTCATGAATATGGGCCTCTAGCATGGCTTGAAACTAGTCGAGTATCTCGTCAAATTACGTGAGTAAGCCGAAAACATAATAAATAACATACTGCAGTTATAACTAAGTAGATTGACGCTAAAATTATCACTGGGAAACGACTTTTATTTTTAGGTATCAAAAAAAATAATAATAATTTTATTGCGCGCAATGTAAAGCAAACGGGCTTCGTGTCATTGTGTGCGTAGGTTCACAGCTTAGCATTAAAACGCTGTGATAAGTACATAGGTCGACGTTTTACTTCGCAACAAGAAAACAATTCTGTAAAATAAAAATCCTACTGAGATGCACGATGTTTTTTGTGCGGGTCTGCATTTATTTATTACGTACATTACTGTTCGTAACTTCAAATGCGTAATTTATTTAGAAAAATCGAAAATTCAGGTAATGTTTGTTAGGAAAAAATTTTTGTAATAATACTCAGAATTCGATTGCGCAAAAAAACAAAAATTAAAAATGCATCTTTGACCTTCAATATCTTGAGAACCCGTGGAGTCCCAGCTATGGTCTTAAAGAAAAAAATGATCCAAATAATGGGTAGAATACGTGGCTTTCGGCTTCGTTAAGTGTCTTTTTACACCCTGTATAGTGCTATACTCATTACATGGCTTGCCTTGTTACTGTGAAAATATCTTGTCAATTTAGTAAAATTGTCTTCGCTAAACAACAATTGGTAGTATCATAAATAGTAATAAGATAGTGTCAAAATAGCTCTATTACTTTAACTTCTGGGAAGTAATTATTTAGGTATGTACCATAACAGATGTTATACTATAGGAATTTTGGATTGACCCATCGAGAGGACCCGAACAGGCACCAGTGATAGCCACCAGGGATGTTTTACTCTGGTAAAATTCGCCCCCAGGAGAAAAAAGGGGTAATATGTACTCCTTTTTTATTGTGAAATCGTGAAATATAGAGAATTTATGTCTAAAAATAGGGCTTTATAGCAGACTCTAAACTACAACCGTAGAGCAGATTTAAAGGATTATATTAGGCTTATGGAAAAGGTAGCCCCAGCTGTAGACCTAGTTTTAAAAAGGGTTGACGCCGAAGTGATTTTTAGAAGCTTTGAAATACACCTACGCCCTTTTTAGAAATTTAATAATGGAAAATTTGGATTATTCACAAATGAGGTTTGATATATACCAAAAGCACACTTAATAAAAACTTTAGCTTTTACAAAATTGAAAAAAGTTCGTCATTATACCTTATCATAACGTGTGATAGATATGATTACAAATACTACGGTGAATTCGAAGTTAATTATTATAATATTATTACCTTAAAAAGGATTTAATAAATTAAAAACACACACACAAACGAATGTCATTCATATGGATTAAACCGACAATCAAAAAAGGTATTTTCGTAAATGGCAAGCTTTTCCATTCTTGAATGTTTGAACAATTTTAATGATTAAATTTAGTACTTTATACATTTATTACCTACATTTTAAATTTCGTTTATTTTTAACGTCAAACTATATTTATTATACACAATGACTACATATGAATTCCCTTTTTGTATTACTGCGTTTTCTACGAATATAATAATATGAAAATTTTAATATAACTATAATTTTATTGTGTCAAAAACAGATATTACAAACCTATATGGATTCCGTATTGTACCCATTTGGCTGCAGAACCTCAAAAAAAAAACAAATTTTAACGCTTACAAAAATGTATGGTTTACATACTACTCTAAATGTAAGCTATTCATATAACACATCGTTACATCACTTTGCTCCTATCATTTAATCATTAATTACATCTATTATTTAAAATCCACTACACAAAAAATAATAGTTATACAACTTTTTAATTGAAAAATCTCTTTATACAGATGCATTCGAGGAGATTACTTGAAGGTATACTCGGAAGGTGGGGTCCATGGACCAGGACCGCCTGGTGTGAACGAATACTCTGCATGGTCAAGGGTCCTATGTGGCAGCAGAGCTGATGCCCCACCTGCACTCTACTCACATGGACCACTACTAGTCCTAGAACTCCACACAGGAATCAAAGCCACCAATGCCACTGGCTTTGTTGGAAATTACAGGTTCATTGATAGAAGTAAGTCAAAATTAATTACGTTTTAATAAAAAATGGCTATTTCCATAAAAATGAAATATTTTTTTTTTTTGAAAACGTTGCCCCACATTAAAATTTCCTCCTGTGTCGTGGATGCGTTTACAAACATACAATTTCACATGCACATCACACCCAGACCACAACACATACAACACAAATACAAGGTTGTCCAGGAAAAAAGGCAGATTAAGTTTTTTTCTTTATACGTTTCGCCAATAAACAAAGAGTTTACGACTAGCGGGTTCATTTAAGAAGCTTAAAACTGAAGTTCATGATTTTCTGTTGTATATTAAAAAATGCATTACTCACCGAAGTTCATCATTTTTTATCACGAGATTTAATACTCGTACTCGTGACTTTTATTGTCGAAAACAAAAAAAAGCAAAAAAACTACCCATTTTTTTACTATTTGTCGAACGCTCGACAGCTTGATCGCACTCGTAAAGGGAGACAATAAAATTTCAGTTCTCATATCCTATTAAAGCAATAGCTTCGCTCTTAAACCAAATGACAATAATAAAGTAAGTCGCAAAACACTCCAGTCAATAATGAATCAAACAATTAAAGCACTTAAAACTTTATACTTCGGGTACAGAACAAAAATATTCGTTAATAAACTGCTCATTTTATTCCAAACTTCGTTTATTTGATCCATAAAGTTTTTACTCTGTGATCATTAATTCTTATTACAGTCAATCGCCCCCGTCCTTGGCTGTCCATCTCTGTCTGATCAAATCAGTGTCTAGTTTGGTTACCTTAAATATATCAATTAATTTCGTTAAAGCCACAACAGCTTAGGCGATTTTCCTTTTGGGGAAAATGGACAAGGGATTTGTAGATTTTGTATTAAAAATATTATGGCGTTATCACAATTTTATTTATTTAGGTTATAAAGCTGAATTATTATTATGTTACTGTAAAAAGACTGAAGTCTGATCGTTTAGATATTTAAAAGAAGACCTTTTTCGATTAAATGTGAAATAGGCGAAGTGTAACGTTACAACATAAGTTTTATTGCATAAAAAGTTACATTACTAAACAGAAAACAAATGTACTTACCAAGTAAGTACTTGGTACATTTGTTTTCTTTTAAAAACACCTATCAAAAGTCACGCACAAAAAGTCATTCGCAAAAAAAAAAAAACACGAAACAAACAAACATTTCACTCACGTAACAGATCGACTTCCATTCATCGATTCCTAAAGTTTTCCAATTTATAAGACTTGTACCTCGTTTCCTAGGAAATTTCGAGACAGACGGTGTACAAGTGGCCGAGACGTGGTGTGATTATGTCTTCCACTCTCAGCCAAACAGACCCGCTCATGGACGCCTGTATAGCCCGAGATATCCTTCGAGTTATCCTAGTAACGTGAGGTGTACTTATCACTTCAGTGCAAGGTGAGTGTCACGGATTTTGTGCCAAAACGTTCAGTTTATTGTCGCAATAAATTTTGGACATGTGGATTTTTATTTTCTTTTACAATTGAAGTCTTCAAGGTAAAACAAAAATCTGTTCTCGAGGGATTAGTTGTGACATGATAACATGGATGAAGATAATCTCTTCAGTTTTCACAATCATAGTCAAAATTGGTGTATCTTTTAATTTCACAGTAGAACGATCAAATATTTTTTTTTATATCAGAACCTGAAATTGGAACATTGGTATCATGATTACTAGTGAACGATTTGCATAACTTCGTCGAATCGAAGACAAAATTTATTCAAAACCTCAATTCAACTAGAAATCTAATAAGCCTCAGATATTTCTAAGCGCTTCAATATCATTCTAATGTTTTAGGCACAACGAGAGAATCAAGTTAGTTTTCGAAGAATCGTTTTTGCAGAAAGGCGACGAGAGGTATTTAGAAGTTCATTTCTTTAGTAAAGCGTTCTTTTCCTTGGTGTTATAACTTTTCTACTTTCCAGTTGCCTCAATCGTGCCGACATAATAAAAGTGTTCGATGGACGGACTTCGACGGCGCCAGTCCTGGCAATGCTTTGTAACGAAGCCGTAGGTACGAATTATTTTGGATTTCTCTGAATGGGAACCTGATTTCTTTCACTGTATTTTATCTTGACGTGTGATGTGGAGGAAAATGGGACTGTTTGAGATATATTTGTTGCTTCTTTATTGTCAATAATTTCAAGGTTCGAAGTGTTTGGGAGGTTTCGTATGAAGTGTTCCATAAATATAGTGTAGCATTTAAAAACAGAAGATATTATTATTAAAACAGTCAGTGAAAGAAATCGTATTTCTAATCGTTTCTGATCTCCGTCACTTTATAATAAACACATGCTAACTGTATTTTATTTATATTTATTTCGCCAGGATACGAGATTTTGTCTACGGGACCAGATTTATTAGTGCAATTCACTGCTAATTCCGATCTCCCCGGACAAGGATTCAAAGCACGATACCAGTTCCAAATGGAAGACGACTCAAATGCAGGTTTAGTAAGCATGTCATAATTATTGTATCAAGATTTTATTTTTCTCAAAATATTTTTTTATTCTTTCATCAATTTAATTTTTTTTTACCGAATCAAATACTTCCAACGACTTACTCATTTGAAATCTCTTGTTACGACACAACCCAACATTTTATACTGACCAGTGACGTTGGACCTTCCATTCCAAAATTTAAATTTGATATTTTTATTTTTTCTTATTTTATTTTATCCAGCCGATATTGCTTAAAGTTTTTAAAAAAGCTTTTTTTACATTGCGTATTAATATCTGAAATGTGTCATTCTCTCAATTTATTAACTAAGGATTACTTTGTATTTAATCAGTGAAACGTTAACGTTTGATTTTGATGTTATGTTTGTCATGTTAGTATACACAGTGCTTAGTGCGCATATGAAATAAATGCGTAGCAAATCTGTATGAAATACTCCTAGGCTATTATTTATACTGCAATTAACACCTTAATATATCTAGCACCTATGTTTATTAAATATTATGTGACGCTTGACTGGCAAAGAATGTCTTTCGGCAATCAGGCCGCATTAGGATTTAATACGTAAATTGTCTAATAGAAATATATATAAATACACACATTTACGTATTATGAATGTAATGTATTGGTAATCATTACTCATCATCTTCAGCCTATTGATGTCCACTGAGTAAAAACCTTTACTAAATAAAAAGTAGTCTTCTAACGTATAAATAGAAATTATAAGTCTTAGTTTCTTCACGATCTTTTTTTTTACCGTCTTTCAGTGGTGCCTATTTAGTTTTAGAAGTTTTTAGTTCATATTACTTGAAAAAAGTCACACAGTTGATACTTGCACGGCGACGAAACCGCATCTTGAAGCATGAAGAGCGGGCGCTTCAAGTTTTAGGATGATCTGGTATTTCGTACGTTGTGTTTAGACGTATGTTTATCAGTTCTGTTATATTTATTACTCCTACGATTTCAAACAGTAACATCTGCTGAATAGCTTGTTATTTAATTTTGAACTTTATGAAATTTAATATAGTGTACCACAATAATATTCTCTTTCTCACCAGATGGGGATATTAATAAGAAATCAAGTACAACGGAGGCAATATCCGGCTTAGGGCCGGCTGTGAGCGCCGCGAGTAAGTACTTCAAATAATGTAGCCATTCCAAAACGCAGAGCTTGCGTTTTTGTTAACAAAACCACCTCATATATTATTAAAAGTGGCATCGTAGTGCAAAATGTTTTGTCGACAGTTCTTTTAAGGATTGTTTTTGCTTGTACGTTGAAGTATATGTTTTTGAAATGAAACTGATTTCCTTTTATTGGAAATTTATAAATCTTGAGTTCAATGTTTTTTTTTTGAGCTTAAAAATTGTTCTCGTGTCACTCTTATTTAAAAGATAATCTATAAGATTATGTTATTAAAAAAGTGTTCACTGAAAGGTTACTTTATTACTAGACGGGGTTATAGGCGTAAGGTTAATACTCGTAATGTAAGTACGTTGACCGGGGCTCTGAACAAGATAAGGAACGGAGTGGTTTTAGTCAGTAATATACTGACACTCCCTCTCGCCCTGTTTATAATGGGAGAGGTCATCTAAGAGTTTGATTTTCCTAAACAAAAAGCTAAAAAGACCTTTTACTTCAAAAATGTATTTAATTTGTTTGTAATAGAAAATCAAGGATATAAATTTTGGAAAACTAAAAATAAAAAGAATTAAACACTTCCACTCCACTCGTTCAAATGACTTCCCGAAGGTGAAGTTTAAATCTTCTATTGAGCTTATCTCAAATATATTTGGTTCATAGAGTCGTGCCAAATTGCTTGAGAATTTATTAATACGGAGGAAGCGAAAATCTTACTTTATGTAGCTTACAAGAGGATAAGAGTGGCTTTAGAATGCAACGAACTAAACTCGATGGTATATTTTTCTATTTCAATTATTTTCTGGTTCTATTTGTATTGCAACTCTTCTTGGTAAAATAGGTAAAGTTATAGAAACATAAATGTATATAACTGACAATTACGTTTAACATAATATTGTTTGTTGCATATTAATACTTTACTGTTTAATGGGATTTATCTTAAAATTAAATATAAAAGGTACGTGCACGTTAAATCCCGCCAAGCAGTAAAATATAGTCTACATTGTTATTTGGTAGACTTTTGTTTATTTTGGGGGAATGGGAAACGCGGGATGCGGGTGCATCATATTGAGCGGGATAGTCAGATTCTTACTTACTGAAAATCGCCCTGTTTCTTCTCTTGCTCTGGGCCGGGGATACTGAGCAACCCCAAACCTAGCTGATAGGTATGAACGTTAGAAAATAAACATTGACTCAAAATAGGTTTTGGTTATTACATATTTGGTTTATCTTGGCTATAGATGAATAGCCGAACATGGGGTCAATAGATGTCAGTGGGTCTAATAGTACAATAAAGTGATGAAGTATCTTGATACAGTACATTTGGAAACATCAATATTCTTTTTAATTTGGGAATGGATTTGCATACTGCAGCATATTTATTATATTATTAGTTTCCCATGTTTGACGTACTGGTCTGGATACTTAATGCTTGCATCAGGCAATCGCATTTGTTTTTAAACAAATCCTCTTTGTTTTTAGTTCTCTTTTGAAATGTTACTCGGGTTGTATATAAAAAATTACTTCAAATGTATTTATTACTTAAAAACGGAATACATAATCTCCGCAAATGTTCATACTTATATTTACTTTTCAATTCTGATCTAAAGCCACTTACAAAACTCTCATAACATTTTGACAGCAAACATAATTTATTAACCAAATAAAATTCAGCCTGTATATTGAGTATATCAAGAAATTCTGACAACACTTTCATTTACTATCTGTTACTAATGTACAACCGCCGAACATTCAAATTATTTCAGACAATTTTCGACCATATTATGATTCAGACATAAAGTAGGAAATCTAATAAAGAGATTGGTGTAGCTTGATGTGTTTGTGTACGTATATATTCCATTAGTGATGTGACACCTTCATTTCAGCTTCGTCCTGCCATCAAGTATTCAGCAGTGATAAAAGCAAGACCGGTAAATTGACTTCGCCCCTCTACCCAGCTCCTTATCCACAGAAAACGCAATGTCATTATGACTTCTTAGCTCGAGGGAGGGAAAGAGTACGACTAGTATTCGAAGACTTCAGTTTGCAGCGAATAACAGATAATATTATAGAGTAAGTTACTTTTGTGACGTGACGTTTTGATATTAGGTGCTTTGAAGTAAATGCTACTATTCAGAATGATTGTCTCATACAGTAACTTTCTTATTGCAAATTTAGAATACAGTTTGAAAATCGTATTGTCCTTCTTACTAGGTGTTCAATACGTTTAATGAACGTTTTTATTGAACTTACAAAGTATTAAGGTTTTTTAATAATTTAATAACTACAATATGTATTGTTCAAAAAGACTATACAGAAATTCATCTACCCGATACGAAACCCTTACAATCTAATCCAAAAAGTATCAGAAATAAATTTCTGAAAAAACTTCGCCCAAAAGGCGACCATGACACAAAATAACATTATTACCTTCAAAAAACAGAGCGGACAAAACGAAAACAAAGCACTAACCGATATAAAATAAACAAATTCACTTTCTTTCAGCTGTGAGAGTATGGATTCTCTCGACGTATTTTTGTATGTAGATGGCCGTCTAGAAAAGATGGCATCATTCTGTGGCAACGAAATACCGAAGCCAATAATGTCGAATGGACCTAAGTTATCTATTGAGTTCCGTGGGATATACTCGTCGAGACATAGCAAGGGGTTCAAGATATCATACTCCTTTGTTGAAGGTACCTTTTATCCTAATTTCGTATGTATAGTCATGTATAGGTTTATTGCGATCGATTGGTTGATATCTGTCGTTGGTTTGGTCTATTCCTGTCCTTGTATAGGCGACCTCCCCATTGTTTACTTACATAATCAAACGTATTGTTTTATTTTTAAAATTTTCTATTCCCGATTCAGCGTTGATCAAAATAATTGTCAATTAAGAGTTTATACCTGTTTATTACTTTATGATTTCAATAGCAACAGAAATTTATCACGACACCAAAGTATCGTGGTAAATTTCTATAAATATACATACAAACAAGAGAACAGTTGATTAAAAACATTATTTTGGTCATATTTCCATAAACGTAACTACAAAGATGGTTTGACAAATGAAAGCAGAACAGTTATACATTTGTTCACCATACTAGCAGCTCGCTTAAAAATCTTTTGTTATTTGCTCATAGGAATTCAGAGCGCACATATTCCTACCTCATCATTCTTGATGCGGTCGACGCTTAATTCCTCACATTTTTCTGAATGTTCGCATTTCAAACAGTGACGTTGCATTCTTACTTTTTTTATTTTCAAATCGGTGTTGGTTTGAATTCTACATAGTTCCTTTCCATTCGAAATTTGATCGAAATTCTGATGACATTTAACATTTTTCAATTTAAAAACCGAAACTGTTATTTTCTACGTCACTATAAGAAATATAGTATAAATTCGATCAAAAATATTCAACTACGAGTCCATAGCGTGGCAGCTCATAGAAAATAACATATTTCGTTCATATTTATGAGTAAAAGTACGTATAAATTTTCATCAAAAATTCCAAGCTCGGGAGTCAGGAAACAAATACATCGTAAATTAATATCCGAAAGTATCGCCATTCTGGGAAGCTTCAATTATGCCAAAATCGTCGGACACCAAAAAACAAAAGTAAAAAGTTTTTGACTTCCAGATTACGGGATCGCAACGGGGAGCCAACTTTTAGAATTTCCATGTGCCTTCGTATTTAATAGCAGTGAGAGGGGGAGGGGTGTGGTGACTTCACCAAACCACCCTGGCCTCTATCCAAGGGACACAGAATGCAATTACTTCTTCTACGGCAACGAAAACGAAAGAGTACATTTACATTTCACTTATTTTGACGTCGAAGGTGTGGTCCCGTAAGTAATTCATTTGAATACCATTCAATTTAGAAAAGTCTTCAATAAAATATGTCACTAGCCAAGTACGGTTTGATGAGGGTTACTTATTCAAACCCGGATTGGCTTCATACAGGGAACAGATTGGTGATAAATATGTCTAAGCCGTCCTAATCTAGGCTCAGCTTGAAGAGGTTATATTGATAAAATTTGGATACATTAATATTCGCTGAACTTTGAAAGACTCACGTCGAGGGTTAGGAATTACGAACAAAAATGAATAGGAGCAGTAGACTAGCAAAAATGAAAGGGCAAAATTGAGGTTAAAAAAGTGAAAAGGCTTAAATTTAACATTAGCATAAAATGAGTATCTAGACCCCTAAATTCTGGGACCCTCTAAAATGAAAGTGTCCATCATTAGTTTTTATTATATCATAAAACTTTAATAGAGTTTAAACTAACAGCTTGCTTTATATGAAGGTTTTGAATAAATTAAACTTAATTACAGGTGTGAGGCCGTATCAGCGAGTGACTACGTCCAGTTTTACAGTCAGATGATACAATCCCAGAGCCATAGACATTGTGGACAGATAAAAGAGCTTCAAGTAACGTCAGAGAAGAATTTTCTCAGGATTACCTTCAAGTCTAACGACAGACTTGATGCAACTGGATTCAAAGCAAACTACTTATTTCTAAGAGACTCTGAAATGCATAGTATAACTATGCCTAATTCTATAGATAAAGGTAAGTTTAAAAACCGCCAGTATTTTTTGGCATATATATTTTTATTATAATAATATTTAACTTAATACTTTTCAAATGTATTGTATTACTTTATTAAAATTGTATATACACTTATAAAAAAAAATGATATCATGATCTCATTTTAGACACCTGACTGGATGAAGTAGTAGCACCAATATAATTGACCAATCATCAATAAGCATGATGACGCGACACGATCAATGTCCAATGACAGTCTTCATTTCCCTCGTACACCTCAGGAATTCAAAATGCGTATTATTATTCCATTTATACAATTCCCGTTCAGTTCCTTAGTGTTTACTTATTAAGTTTGCGAGTTTCGAAGCACAACTTTGAAGACGACTCGATGCTCCTTTACAAGGAGAAGCGTCATTCCATGGCAGTGTTTTTGTTGTGGCGTGCTTCAGATAAGCTTGAGAAGTTTAGGTACATATTGACGTATTCTAAATTAATGGTATTTAGTTCCGTATTTTGGGTTTTAAGGATGAAATTCGCTTGAAATAAATCTAAGTTATAAATACACAAAACGAGGATGCAGAAGTTCGTGTTTTGTTAAAAAATTGTTTAGTGAAGGATTTTCATTAACGCATACTCACGTGTAAAATTAAACAATGTAGATAACTAGAACGAAATGTACTGTCGAAAGTATTCCTTTGTGGTTTTTTAAAACTATTGCCAAACAACGCAATAATGTGTCCGTGGACTATAAATTCTTCTTGCACTAAATAAATAAAGAGGTAGGGAGGGAAATTTAGTACCCTCCGCCTTGAAATAATTTAACAGCAGTAAAAACTGTCCCCAGTTAGTAATAATTTAGAACACTTTTAACAACTTTTTAACAGTTGTTTGAGGGACTGTTTAGAAAGTCTAAAATTAGTTTGAATATAACATTTTTGAAATTTAATGGTCAGCTTAAAGCACTCGTAAAATTGTTTTCAAATCACTCTATTAATGGACGTTTATTTGCAAACTTCAAAATTAATTAATGTTATTAGGTACTTACTACATACAAACATATTAATAGCAGACTGCTCGGTCCGAGCAGTGGCTGGACAACTGGCTGCTGTGCAACTAGTCTCGGGTTCGATTGCCCCACGAAAAAACATTTTATTGCAAGGAGTTTGTGTAGCTTGTGTACAATAAAAAATAACAGTAGTTATTAGGATAAACTTGAGGATATTCATGTCGTATAAAAAGAAAGAAAGCTAGAGAAAGACAACAACTAGTTACTGGTTTTACTTAAAAACTTATTTTGTGTTAGAAAATTCGTCAGTAACTATCCCAATCTATATACAAGCACCTATGCTAGCGAGAGCTTGTAACATATCTGCATTTACAACAAAACCACGTGTAAAGCTTAAATCGCTACCAAGTCCAATAGACTGCCAATGCTAACCAGAATCTCGTTAGCTCGCAACTGGTCTAAAATCTACATAAAACCTCTAATCTGATGACTGCCGGCCACTGCTGCATGTAATCCGTCTCTCAAACGCTATGGCTTTTCAGTTCTATTCAAATCATGTGCATTGTACTCTCGTCCTTCTAACAATGAAGACGTGAGTGCGAATTTACTTTGGACACCAACAAGAGAATTTTAAATATGGAATTAAATTTTGTGGTCGTTTTCGATTGGTAATTATTATGATCTTAAGTGAATTTAATTTATGTAATCTTAAAAAAAAAATATAAAAATGTAGTTGTTTGTTTTTGTAGAGACAGTCCTATTGTTAGCTTTTTATTTATTGAAAATAAGGACTTACGTGAATTTATCGAGAAAAGCTCTACTAGTTTCATGTTACAACAGGACTCTTATTCACGAGCAGCGTGTACGTCGCGACGACGTATGTAAGTCCGTACTTAATGGACGCAAATAAGTCGTTATTTTCAATAAATGTAGTAAGTCTCACGATAGTAACTGTTCAAAAACAGGCTTTTTTGCTTACGAAATACAATGAATTTTCTAAAATAAAAACGTAACAAACTCCCCCTAAATGAAAAACATAAAGATAGCCCCAAAATGACTGCCAAAAGTTAATAACTCCAGTAGGTACCAGGTGCATTAGAAATCGAAATAGTCAGAAAGTGCTTAAAATTGAGAGCTCCTTTGTCTTCGAAAACAGGAGAGCCTATTGACAGAAGTTTCTTCCTCAGTTCCTTTCTTATTTCAGAAAAAGTTTATTGTGACTATTTCAATCTATTTCAAGATAAAATAGTTGGGCCTACTAATTAATAGGGCCAGAACTAAGTACTCATCACAATCCCTGACGCTTAGTCTAATCCTCTTAGTTACGGGTTAATGGGAGGAGATTAAAGGGATATAGGGTAATGATTGCAAAATGAATTGGGGACAACCCTGTAACGAATGATGAATATACAAATAGCAACGGTATTACAAGGGAGTAAATTAAAATTTTGATTGGTGACATGTAGCTAGTTGAAGATCTATGAATTTAAAGTGAATACCATTGTCAAAGGATTGGTATTAATTTTAAATTATGTTAAATCAGTTATTGTATAAACATTTTCGATTATAGTTTTGTTATTTTAACCAGGTAATGTGTTCTACATCTAAAATAGAGATGTCGCAGCCAACTAGCTTCTTAGTGAGCTATTCTATTAACGGCCTATTTGATATATAATATCCCGGTACAATTCTGGTAACTATTATTTTGTGATTAGCTACTTTCTTTCGGATTCACCCGCTGCTCGGCTCCTACAGATCGTAGCGTGATGTTACATAGCCTATAGCTCTCAGGAACATTGTAGCTGTCTATCAGTGAAAGAATTTTGGCAATCCGACCAGCGGTTCCAAAGAGTACCACATACAAACTGACAAATTATACCTCTTTATAAAAATAGTATAAATAGCGTTCCAATTTTTGTGTGGGTCACAGTACTAATCTAACCTAACCTAACATTTTCATAGCAATTTGGTTTTGATGAAAATTCTTTTGCCTGAAAATCTGAGCCTTTCAATCAAAGTCTATATAAAATTTATTTTGTAACTAATTTAAAAACTTTTGTTGCAGGTACCACGTGTAATATTTCAAGATCGCTACTACTACTATGTCTCTGCGAAGTCCTTTGGAATTTCAGATAGTGGATGGAAAAATGAATTTGTAAATCTGAAAGAGAAATTATTTAATTAAAATTAAAAGAGTTACTTTTGAGCGTTTTCATTTATCGATTGCTTTTACCTTAAGGCTAAGAACTCACGGAGCGATTTTCGCCCGCGTCCGCTGCGGTTGCGGGCCCGCAGCTTCTGTAGAATTCAAATATTTATATAAAAAATTACGGTTGGCGAGCGACCGCGGGGGCCGGCGGGTCTTCTGTGAAGTAAATATAACGCAACGGCTCGTTTCTGGTGTGTGTCCATGGCGGTCTGGACCTCAACTGATCGTTAACCGCCCGTCTTGCAATCTTGTGATCATCGCCCGCCACGTTTGCGGGTGATCATCGCAACTGCGGCGGCTGTGTAACCGCGCAAATAACCGGTCTCGTGAGTTTGGAAATAAAACCGCAGTTCCGCTACCGCGGCGGGCACGGTTCAAAATCGTTCCGCGAGTTCTTAGCCGAAATATGACGAGCAATATTTTGGGTGATAGTTGTCATAGTTTGTTTCTCTTTTTTCCTATGGCATGCTGATGAAAGTAGTTTCACTTGATTTGTATTTATATCTCCAGATAACATTTGATAAAGAGGTTTCTTAATATAATGCTAAGTTAGTCAGATAGGTCACCAGATGTTGGGCTCCGAAGTAGGTCTATAAGAGGACCCGGTGTCTTTTGCAGGTGTTGAGGGTGGCAGCCGATGTTCTTTTAGTAAAAGGGTATTTAAAAAAGGGCCTTTAAAAAAGTTAGCTATTTTATTCTTGTCATAGGTCGGCAAATGAGGAGATGGATTACCTGATGGTAAGCGATCGGCGTCGCCTATGGACATTCGCAATGCCATAGAGCTACTACAAGTGCGTTACCGGCCTTTTATAGGTGGTTAGGGATTTACGGATAAGAGATTTGAGGATAGAGGATAGGGGAGGGTAGGGTTGGGATCCGATAACCTCATTCATATGACGAAATATAACGTAAGTATTGCTTCACGCCCCTTTTCCGTGAGACCGTGAAATCATTCTGGGTGAGGCTAAGAACTCACGGAGCGATTTTCGCCCGCGTCCGCTGCGGTTGCGGGCCCGCAGCTTCTGTAGAATTCAAATATTTATATAAAAAATTAAAGCACATTTCACGACGCGTTTTATGCCCGCGGTGTACGCGGTTGTATGCGGCTCCCGCTGTACCGGCGGGCAACTAGTAGAATCGCGCGGGCCGCGGTTACCCGCAGCCTCGGCGGGAGGCACCCGCGCGCTTTGCGATCGGTTGGCGAGCGACCGCGGGGGCCGGCGGGTCTTCTGTGAAGTAAATATAACGCAACGGCTCGTTTCTGGTGTGTGTCCATGGCGGTCTGGACCTCAACTGATCGTTAACCGCCCGTCTTGCAATCTTGTGATCATCGCCCGCCACGTTTGCGGGTGATCATCGCAACTGCGGCGGCTGTGTAACCGCGCAAATAACCGGTCTCGTGAGTTTGGAAATAAAACCGCAGTTCCGCTACCGCGGCGGGCACGGTTCAAAATCTTTCCGTGAGTTCTTAGCCTGAGCCGGCTTATTCGTGCCAAAGCATGGCTCTCCCACACTCTCTCCCACACTTGAAAACCTCGATCAGTTTCAAGCCTCGCTAGGCTCATTTTTATGAACACCATTACACGTCACATGAAAGGTGAGCAGTTCAGATTCTTACTATCGTACATAAGTACTTCCAAAAGTTTTACCTCCAAAGTTAAATAATGAATAAGTACTACATTATTGAAATGTTAAAAACGTATAGCTTACCCTTTTAAAGGATTTCTCCAAGGTCTTCAGAGGTGACGGACGTGCAGAGCATGACACTCGCCACGCTCGTCACTGGCCAACATCGAGAAGGGTCAAAAACAGCATTAGTGCCCACGTCACGTAGATTCAGAGATCCAAATTTAACTTTAGGATTTTAAGACCTCTCAAAAATGTTAATGTAAATGATCCATGTCGCTGGTCTAGTGAAGCTTGGTTTAGATTTCAGTGTTCCAAGTATTGTTTGTAAGTTGAGAATGGAATTGTTCTTGATATCGAATTCATAATAACTTTTTTCAAGCATATGCATGAAAACACGAAATAAATGCAAACTATTAAAATGTTTCGAAGAAAAGAATTATATACTATAAAAAGCCTGTTATTTTTTTTTTTTGGTAGTTATTTTAAATTGTTTTTTTTTATGTTATAGTGTTATTTTTTTATAGAATACTAATTTTATTCTTCTTAATCTCTACTATCTGAAATGATACTTAGATAAAAAAGATACAAGCTGCTTTATCTTATAATCATGGGTAATGTACAACGAAGAAGAAATGCCTTGCGATGGAAGATGCCGTGCTTGCGCAATTTCAGAGATTGAAACAGGATCGATCCCGTCGAACAACGTTTTACGCTTGGTCAATGACAAGGAAGACCTTCACAGAAAGAAGTGCCACCTTAAAAAAATAATTATTTACCATACTCGTTTTTCATATCCATATTTGACTAGAAATTTCAAGTCTAACCCTGACTAAAATTCCTAGAAATACTGTCAGATAAGAAAGTGAAACGGGTTTTATTTACAACTCGGTTCACTTATAAAGTTTTTGAAGGATCTTTCTAGAAGTTCTGATTTTATTTTATTTCTAGATTAGATTCGTTTATGTAGTTTTTTTGAGGTTTACCTGGTAGGATATAGGGTTTTTCTTTGAAATCTACATACTATCTTAAAATTTCTCTCGTTTATCTACGATTTTTTATTAAAAGTTATGTTTTTATATATATTGAGCATAATTATATATAACCTGCTAAATAAACTTTAAACATTTGTAGGATGGGTGTTGAAATTTGAGCTAATGGATGTCTGCATTGTAATGGGTTTTTTTTTTAATAGAATAAATGGTCATGTTTTGACCATTTGGACACGGGCCATCGAAACTATCCGCTACTTAAAAACATAAGAAGGGAGGGCCCACAAAAAAAGAAGTTTATACAACTACCGTACTTGTAGCGTAGAATTGTAGATATCTGAAATCGCTATAATATTCTATTGAAATATAGATCGATTTAAAATAATAGTAGAATGGCCGAATGCCAATTAAAAACATTATTACTCTAAAAAAAGGGTTTTGGTTGGTTGGTGGAAATCGAAACTTCACTTGTGAATCAACCTGATACTCGATAGAAATAAAATGTATATTTTACTTCTATCATACATTTTATTTCTATCGAGTCAAATCAAAATTATTATTATTTATTTATTAAGCAAATGTACATCGACAGTGTAAGTACATATTTAGCTGCTTAATCGTGGAAAAAATCACTTAATTATTTTTCTGGGATTTCCTGGTGGTAGGCAATCAGCGCAGCCCATGGACTCCCGCAACGACGGAGGTGTTGCGAGTGCGTTGCCAACTTTTTGGTGATTACGGCTTTGGTGATTTAGGGATTGGGAGAGAGGAAGGATTGGGCCTCCGGTAACTTCACTCACACAAACACAACGCTGTTGTTTCACGCCGGTTTTCTGGTTCCGGTTTTTAACATTCATTAATTAATTATTTATCAAATTCACACTTAGCCATGAAATTCGGCAATACTGAATATAATTCAATTCATAACAACACTATTCCTAAAAGCGACTTATAATTAAGTCAACCAAGTTAGTATTCGTCCAACAAACGCTGCTGAACAAAACGCTGGCGGCGTAACAAAACCTTTGGCCAGCTCATAGACTTTCAAAGTTTGCATATAATTATACCGGACATTTCAGTAACATTTTGAGGAACTACGGACTTTAAAGTCTATGCATAATGGAAGCGGTAGACCGGGTGAGCGGGCTTTATTATTTGTCAGCGCAAGCGTGGTAGATGGATAGTCAAAAATCTATTTTTAAATTTTTAAACATAATTATATTTATTTTCATTAGGGACGATTTAAGAATGAATACACTGGATATTGTATACTTTACTAGGAATAAATAACGTAGTGTATAACAATGCATATTATTTACACCTATGTGGTTAATTTACAAAGTAATTACTCTACTTTAGATTAAAGTGAACCAAAAACAAAAAGGATGTACCTATACATTCTGTAAGCGCAACGGTATACCTTGGACCGGCTCGGAGAAGGAAGAGGATTTTAGTCAGTAAGACTATGTGTCTGAGATTAACTCTTTTTTGACTTTGACTGCACGGTTGGCGCAGTGGCTGGGCAATTTTCGCACGGATCAAAAGATTGACTGTGTGATTCACAAATTGTTATTTCGGGTCTGGGTGGCTTGTGTATGTGAATTTTTATGTTTATAACCGCACCCACGACACAGGAGAAAACTCTAGTATGGGGCAGCGTTTTAAGAAAAAGAAAAAAAGAACTATCGTCTAACATAGGATGGAAGAAATCATTCATTCATTAAAAAAGGTATATCTAATTAAAAAAAGTTACTAGTTATTACATGAATGCAATAAAGAAGCAAGCGATAAATCATCGAAGCCCGTGTATAAATCCAGGCTCAGCTTGCTAAAACTTCTTGATGGCTTAGTACTAAATCTGCTATGGAAGTTATTATGGTAATGCGTCTTCTGAACGACCCGAAACTTCGATTTGTTTTGAGTTATGAAACGTTTGGATCTAGATTCTGTTCCAATTAAATTATGTAGGGTCTTGAATTTCTGATTGTTAAGCTGTGGGATCATTGTGTGCGAAATATGAAGCGAGAATTCTGTGGAAGCCGTTGTTTCTTTAATCATTTTTAAAGGTAAATGATTTAACGCAATGCATTTCACTTATGGATATGCAACTAGGTGTAGGCATCAAAATTACTAGTATTTGTTCAGTAAGTAATCAAATTAAAGATTTTATGATAAGAGTAATCGAGCACAAAGATCACCTTACCTTATTCACCTTACGGTAAACAAGTGACATCGCCCATATACATATATTCGCAACACAGAAATTACAAGTACGTTTCTGGCCATTTGAAGTTTAAAGAGATTTTAGGATTGGGACTGGAAGGTGAGAAGGATTGGGCTATGTACTTATGAAAATAATTGTCACAATGTAATAAGTAAATATGCCAAAAATGAACACAATATGGGCTTAACATCAAATAAATTGAACATATTTTAAAGAGAAATTCAAATAATCAAACAATATTTATTGTAAATAACAATACAATAAGAATAAAAATAGTTCTGTTGACCTTTGGGTAAATAGCGCAAGAAACCTATAAATTAAAGTTAAATAAATATTCAGAACGATATGACGTATCCCTTTGAGCAAAAGAATTTAATTTAAAAAAATCTCCTTTTGTCCATTATCGAATCTGAAGCATGAAATTCGTTAAAATGTATGGTACAAATTATAAAGTCACGGAGTTTCAATTGTTTCTGAATAAAATATTTCAATTAATTTAATTTAGTTTTTTCATCAAATGTAATTATGTAACGTTTTTTATAGCTACTCATAATGTTCGTTGAATTATTTTATACTTAGTTTTAATTCAATTATGAGCTTACATATTATCAGCATGCGGAGTGTCGCGAAATTCGACTGGGTATGTGAATTCCTACGGTAAGGCTCGGAGCAGATGAAGGAATATGGCGGTTTTTAGTCAGTAAAACCTCTGACACTTCATCTTTCCCCATTCATGGTGTGAAGATTAATTAGATTATCCCCCCTTATAGAAGGTAAACTGTATAGGGTGCACATTGTAACCACTGAAACTGGTCCTTTATAGGGATACAACTACCACATTTTTTTTTTTTTTTTTACTTTGGCAACACTGGTAGCCGGTCGTCAAAAACCGACCTCAAATTTTAATTTAATTTTAAAATTAGTTTTAAGTGATATTTAAGTTCCAAATACGTATATTTGTGTTAGAATACATACGTAATTATTACAAGCAGTGTGTGCCTAGTGATATTAATAATACTTCTTCCACAAAACCGAAAAGTTGTTGCGGCTGTCAACGGACGAAGATATCGTCTTATTCGAATAATTAAACCAGGGGAGTATATGTGATAAGTAATTACTGTTATTAGTTTAAACAACAAAAAAAACCAAAATACTAACTAAAATCCTGTGCATAGCGCCCGTTACTTGTATATTGGACTGATTAACACAAAACCGGGTAAACTTTAACTACTTAGAAACAAACTTACAAAAATAAAAAATTATACTATATTGCTATTGTGCTGTAGAATTTGTGTAAATTACATCGTTAAGCAGTATAGTTAATGTTAAAAAACATAATTTGTACGCTTTTCTCAGTAGTATATGACTATATCAGGTACCAATTGTATTCCAATATTTTGCTCATACCTACATATATCAAAAAGAAATATTCTTATGATAGAACATTCAAACTTAACTAAATTATTATTTTTCATATTCTTTACCTCTTTTGTACTTTAAATTCAACTCATTCCCTTCTTACTCACCTACCTTTCTTTTTTTTGCTGTTTTCTTTTTTTTTCCTTTATTTCAGTGTTCATTTCTACATACTTGCCAATATGATGACCCGGGCAAAGGAAATGGAAATTAAACTGAGGGCAGCACTTAAAGAATTGGAGTCATCCAAACTCCTGTGTGACCAACTGCTGCAGGAGCGGGAAGACAATGAAGTGGAAGTGAAGAACATTATTAATAGGAATAGTAAACTCAAAACTGAATTGGCCTAACTACATGTATGTCGCACGGACCTGCTAGACCAACATAATAGATTATTTAACGAAGTCAGTGCTTTTCAGCAGTGCACCGAGACTCATGAACATGCTCTGACACGCATATCACAACTTGAGCATGATCTAAGAAAAGCCCATAATACAATAAATAAACTAGAGGCTAGTAAACAATCAGTACATAACAGTCAGCTGATACTCTTTCTTTATATGATGAGTTAGTTGGGAGTGGGTCTGGTGACATATGTGAGCAGGCCATT